CAAGGCTGTTGTAGGTTCACTGTAGACGTTAAGACAGAGGGGAGACTCTTCCGAGAGGTACTTCTCACTGGGGAGCAATCAGATAATGTCGGCTTCTCTTCATGAATAGTGAAGGTCTGCTTTTTTGCTAGTGGGAAAGCTGGGGGACTGGATGGGCTCCTTTTAGTACTGCCTAAAAGAGGATGTCTCCCCACAGCTGAAGAATGAGACATAGTGACATTAACACTGTTGAAAGTACATGATTTGGGTTCAGGTAACTTAAAGGCAGAAGCATTTGAAACTGAGTCTGTGACTTTTTTTACATGGTATATAGTAGTATGAGGGCTCTTGTATACAATAGATTTAGAGGTCTCAGATTTTTGAGGTATTTCCTCTGTACCCGTAAAGTTTTCACAATCTAGCATTTCAGGCTCTTGTAAAACCATTAGCCCTTCTCCAGGATGAAATGAAGGGTTTACATTTGAGTCACTCGTGGGAAATATACATGCTGTATTTTGCTCTGGCTGAGATGCTGGCAGTAAAGCTACATCCTCCCAGTCAGCCAACATAGGTAAACAGTCAAGAGCACAACTCATTTCCGTATCAGAAACATGATTAACACAAGAAACAGTAGTAGAAACAAGTACCAGCCCGGAACCAACCGATGAAGAGCTGGATGCAGCATTGGATGCAGCATTAACTGCAAGGTGTCCACTTTTTGTTTGCTTTGGCATGTCAGTAGGTGAACTGAAGCTGGGAGACTGCAGCTGCCCCAGAGAAGTACAGGACTTCCTTCTGAAAGCAGACAGACAGCTGTTGATGTTATAAAGACCTGCTCTCAGATTGCTCTTTACTTGTAACTGATCTTGCTGGACCTTTACGGAAGAATCCACACAAGCCAATTTCATGTCAACGTTTCCATCAGAATTTGTAGTAATCTTAGGATCCTTAGCACATATCATGGGATCCTGAATTCTACTGTTGCAGTCAGAAGTTTCTTCAACCTGATTCATCTTCAAATTTCTGGCCAAAATGTTGGTATTCCTCTTAGTGGGCACCTGTGATTCCACAGACAAATCCAATAGCTTTGGAAACTGTGCATTTATAATTTCTTCAGTATACATTATAAGACAAAAGAAAAAAGCATCACTACTGTCAGTTATAAATGATTTGTTATGTGTCATTGAGTCGAGTATGACTGATGGTAACCCCTAAGTGACAGAGTTAAACTGTCCCATCAGCTTTCTTTCTGTTCCTGTAAAGATTTACAGCCTCGGAAACCCTGTACAGGGCCGCTATGGGTCAGAACCAACTTGACGGCACTTAACAATGACATCAGCTTTCGTGGCTGTGATCTTTACAGAAGCAGAGTCCCACGTCCTCCTCCTACGGAGCTGCTGAATGCACGGGAATCACCAATCTCTCCTTCACAACCAAGTGCTCAACCCTGGTGTCACCATTTGTAAGTGACACATATGAACTCTCTCCATTTCAATGAATCTATGATGACTTCTGGGATTTCAGATGACAGAATCAAGAGTAAGACAAAACTAACCTTATTCAAGGATCTAGTAATTTTCATTAGGCAACCATCCCTGATCATTTTCCAAGCAAGATGAGCAGTGTTCCGAGAATCATCCAACCCTGAGGAGACACATAGGGAACGGTGAACTTGGTTTAGTAAATGTAAACACAAAACACCCCCCACTTAGATAAAATTGGAATCTCTAGGTGGCGTAACGGTTAACATTTCAGCTTCTAATCTACAGGCTGAAGGTTGCAGTCCCCCCAGAGATGCCTTAGTAGAAAAGTCTGGTTTACAGTCATGAGTCCCATAATGTCCATTCAGGCAACCTCTGACCACATATATACCCATGGTCCCAAATCTCATAAAGGCAATTATATTATTAAATATAATATATATTAAAAACCTGAGGTATATACAATGATTTATAATAACAAAGGGGTGCTATTTTGCAACATACATCAAAACATTATTCTTACTGTCTCACTAAGTTATGGAACCAAGGATATCATTGCTGATATCAGATCTTGGATGAAAGCAGAGAATACCAGAAAGATGTTTACCTGTGCTTTACTGTCTATGGTTATGACAAGTTACAAACAAAACTACAGCGTAGGAGTATTCTGGAACACTTATTTGTGCTCATGAGGAACCTGAGCAGCATAGACCAAGAGGCAGTTGTTCAAACAAAACATGGGAACACTGAATGGTTTAAAATTAGGAAAGGTGGGCAACAGGGTTGTTTTCTTTCACCATACTTATTCAACCTGTATGCTGAGCAAATAATCTGAGAAGCTGGGTTATATGAAGAAAAATGTGGCATCAGGATTGGAGGAAGACTCATTAACAACTTGCAATATGCCGATGATACAACCTTGCTTGCTGAAAGTGATGAGGACTTAAAATACTTACTGATGAAGATCAAAGACCATAGCCTTCAGTACGGATTGTATCTCAATGTAAAGAAAACAAAAATCCTCACCACTGGACCAATATCCAACATTCTTATCAATGGAGAAAAAACGGAAGTTGTCAAGGACTTCATTCTTCTTGGATCAACTATCAACACTCATGAAAGCAGCAGTCAAGAAATCAACGATGTATTGCATTAGGCAAATCTGCTACCTTTTTAAAGTGTTGAAGAACAAACATATCAGCTTGAGGACTAAGATGAGCCTGACCCAAGACATGGTATTTCCAATAACCTCATTTGCATGCTTAAGTTGGACATTGAATAAGGAAGATCGTAGAGGAATTGATGCTTTTGAGTTATGGTGTTAGAGAAGTATATTGAAAGTGCCATGGGCTGCCAAAAGAAAAAACAGATCTGTGTTAGAAGTGCAGTCAGAGTGCTCCTTGGAGGTCAAATGGCCGAACTTCGTCTCTCATACTTCGGACATATTGTCAGGAGGGACCAGTCACTGGAGAGGATAATCATGTTTGGTAAGGTGGAGAGTCAGAGAAAAAGAGGAAGACCCCCAGTGAGATGGATTGGCAAAGTGGAAGTATCAATGGGCTCAAGCATGGCAACAATTATGAGGTTAGCTCAGGACCAGGCAGTGTTTTGTTCTGTTGTGCTAAGGGTGGTTATGAGTCAGTACTGTCTCGATGGCACCTAACTATGTTAAAGGTGTTTAAGTGTACTTGAAAGTGTTTCTTTCATGTTTTTTTTATGTATAGGAAAGATACATGATATACTAAGGCAAACATTTGACTGTTACATACAAACTGTACCTGTTTTGACTTATATACAAATTCGATTTACAGACAGATTTAGGAACTGAGCTCATTTGTGATCCAGGGACTGACTGTATATGTAATATGGGGTCTACACAATGTCCAAATCATATACTGTCCTAATTTACAGAATGTACACCATGGACATGAAGCAACCATCACTGTACTTCCCCAAATCCCAGCCACTGAAAGCCCTACGGAGGACAGTTCTACTATGACAGAGAGGGGTCTTCATGAGTTGGAATAGATTCTGTAACTGGTGGTGGTGGTATAGGGAAATTGCAGCGCACTGTCAATTTCATGATCATCTACTCATGTAAACCATGGTAAGTTGGTGCTGTGGCAGCACTATCACTAAAAGATGACGTCATCTACATTTACTAGGAAAGCAAAAAAATTCACTAGGCAGGCCACAAAATGTGGCTAACAATCTGTAGGGATCAAAATTTGTGAGTGATTCAGTAGTCTTGTCTACTTTTTTTCACTGTGTTATTAGGGTATTTGTTTAATCTCCATTTGATTCAGCTAATTCTTTTAAATCTTCTAAGCCACTAGAAGGTGGTCGTTATGACAGTCTATGGTATGCAAGCATACCTCACTTCATTGCACTCTGCAGATACTATGGGTTTGTTTGGTTTTTTTACAGGTTGGAAGGTGGAGCCCTTTATTTTGTACACGGATGAAGAGCAGGAGGGTAGAAGCTGAGGTGGGGCGGGAAGGCGGCTGGGGCTCAGTCGATGATGATGAGTTTGTCCACGCCCCACTCTTCATAGTTCCCGTCTGGCAGGTAGCGGTGAATGATGATGGGGATCTTTCAGGCTTTGAGCTCCTTCATGGCAGTGGGCAGGGGGTCTGTCTCCCCGTCCAGCTCCACTATCACGGAGGAACACACCACTATCTGGAGGGCTTAGGTGCCCAGTACGCGGGCTTGCTCGTACTTGCTCAGGTACGTCGTGGTGATCCGCTTCTGATTGGCCTGTGCTCACTCCCCTGAGGAAAGGATCTTGATGGTCTCCTGGCTCTCCTCTTCCGCATTCTCCAGGTCATCTAGTCCTTCCTGTTCCTCCACATCATCAAAGTCGTCAACGTTGTCCTCACTGTCTGACATACTGCCCGTGCAGCAGAGACCCGGTTTTATGCCCCACAACTGTTAGAAGACCCCCAAAGAGCAAGCTCTCGCCTCGCTTGGTGCCATACAGACCTTCCAGATACTATGGGTTTTACAAATTGAAGATTTGTGGCAACCCTGCATCAAGCAAGTCTATTGGTGCTGTTTTTCCAACAGTACATGCTAACTTTGTGTCTGTGTGTCACATTTTCGTGAATTCTTACAATATTTCAAATTTTTACCTAATACAAAATTGCACACTTAACAGATCATAGAATAGTGTAAACATAATTTCTGTATGCACTGGGAAATCAAAAAAATTTGTGTGACTCGTTTTATTATGATATTCATTATACTGTGGAGGTTGGGACTCAACCCAAAATACCTCCAAGGTTTGCCATTGTAATTAAAACTCTTCCAAACAACTTCAATAGTAGGATTAGGAGCTATTATACGCTGAAAGATATTCTTTATGAAAGTAAATGGGAATCACATGAAATACTTTATACAAGAAAACGCCTATGACTTAAATAATAATTTTCAATCTATACTAACCAGAGTGCTCTCGTCCTGAGAATTCTATTCCCACTTCCTGCAAGGCACCACTTAGTCCTTTTGGCTTTCTCCTATAGAAAAGCTAAGGAAATAAAAGAAGATATAGCTAAAAAAAAACAATTACAATTTGAAAAACTATTTGCTAACCACTTACTTTTCATAGTTTGAGTTCTATTAAATTTGGAATGTCTTAATTTTGTTGCTGTTTTCAAATACTTAAATGTATTTATGTGAACATCTAAAAAGAAAACATTTTATTCTTAGCAACTCATAACTATGTGGGGATAAAGTTTACTCATTTCTGAATAGTTGGGAGGTGAGCATTTTTTGATCATTACCTTATAAGTTGCTCTGAGATCGATCCAAGAATTTAAGAAGACAGGTTTCAACAGCTGTTTCCTTTTACACTCATACTCCAGGCAAACCCCCAAGTCCCAGTCTGCATTAGGTATATCAAAGGAGAACAACATCAATGGTGCCATCAAATTTGCAAATAAAAGGTTGGAAGATGATATAAATTAGAATATTAAGATTTAATTGCTCTGCTAATATCTAATAGGGACACCTGGTATGGTGCGGTAGGATCAGCATTGGACTGCAAACCACAAGGTCAGCAGCTCAAACCTACCAGCTGCTCCTTGGAAACTCTATACATAGTTGTTATGAGTAAGAATTGATCAATGGCACTTACCAACAATATCTAATAAGTATTTAGTTTGTATAACATAGTATTAAGAAATTAGGTTAGTGACTAGGTTTCAACATGATTTTTTAAGTAATCCAATAAAATACACTGAGTATTTCTGAAAGGAGAAGATATTAAATTATAAGACCTATATAGGAGCTCTGGTAGCATAGTGGTTACGAACCGGGCTGCGAACCTCAAGGTCAGCAGTTCGAAACTACCAGCTGCTCCACGGGAGAAAGATGAGGCTTTCTGCTCCCATAAAGATTTACAGCCTCGGAAACCCTGTTCAGGGTTGGTCTGGGTTGGAACCTATTCGACGGCACTTAACAACAACAACAATATAGAGAATTGACCGGGGGGGGGAGGGGGCTTGATGGTGGATAGGGTAAAGGTGCAGTGAAGTTCTCGTCAGCAATACCACAGAATACCAGACAAAGCAGATTCTGGTCAGAGCTCCAAAACTCTGAACCACATAGGTAAGAATATTTTTAAAGTCTGAAGGCCTATAGCTAGTGGAACTTGTAGTGGAAGTAGGAAATCTCGTACTTTACTATCTGCTGGGCTCAGTGGCCTGGAGCCAATAACTTGGGGGAGACCAAACGGCAAGACCAAGCAGGGGAGCAGACCCACCACAGAATAATGTCATGGGAACCTCGGAGCAAAGGTGGACAATACACGTTGTCAGTTTGCCTTTGTTCTGATTTTTTTTTGGTATCTGTTCATTGGCCCCTCACTGTTTGCACACCTCCATTCTGGTGACTAGAGGGGGTGCCTGAGCAAGTGAACACCTCTCACCCCTCCCCCACCAATGGTGGGTTCTTCTGCCACGCATGCGCACAGATACTTTCAGCATTTAAAGAGACCAGCAGCCCAAGAGCCGGCCCTGAACGATATTTTAATAGGGAAAAGGCCAGAATATGGGGTAGGAAAGGGAGAGAGAGTTAAAAAACAAAACAGGCTGAAAATTAAATCCTGAGGTACAGCATAACAACCAACAGTGGCATCTTGAAATTTATCAAGCGGCCTTGAAGGCAAGAAGCTGCTGAAAGAGGACATTAAAGTCATACTCATATTAGGATACAGATTTTCTTTTTTTTCTCTCCCTTCTCTTCTTTCTCTGCGATTATAGAATACAGTATCCAATATAGTTTTTTGTTGCTGTTGTTGGTTTTTTGTTTTGTTTTTTTCTTGTTGTTTTGCTGTTTTATGCTCCCCCTTTTACCTTTGAGGGACTCTTTCTCTCCCTATGTTACCCAAGAAGAGACAGCAACTGCTGCCATATAGTCAAGCTACAATCACACTCTATAAAACACCAAAACCCAGGCAAGAATCAATACCAACTGCCATACACCAGGGAGGCAGACAATGCCTGTGAAAGTTACACTGAGTTAAGCAATAAGAAAAGTGAAAAGGGAAGCCCACATTCTGATCACATCTACCTGGAGGCAATCAGAAAGCATAAAAATATACCAAAACACACAATTAAGTATTAAAGCCACAGATAAACACTAAACATGTCGAAAAAGCAAAAACAGATGACCACATCAGCACATGTCCAGAAACAAGATAAAATGGCTGAGACAAATGCCCAAGAGGTATACCTGGACTACATTTTGGAAGGAGGGAAGACCTCAGAAATGTCTGAAAAGGCATTCAGAAAAATGATTATAAAATTATTCAAAACACTTTACAATGGAGTTGAGAAAAATAAGGAGGCAGTCAGGAAAGCACTACAGGAAAAATCAAATAGATACAGCATTGGAAACCATTCAAAACCTACAGAAAGAGGACCAAACAATCAATAATAGAATCTCAGAAATAGACAATACACTGAAAAGGCAAAGGAGTAGAATAGAAGAGATGGAAGGCAGAACTAGTGAGCTGGAAGACAAATGTCTCAATACCACTAAGAAAGAAGAACAAGCAGAAAAAAGGATTAAAAAAATCTGAAGAAGGTCTAAGATACATGTTGGACAACATGAAGAGGAGTAATTTAAGAATTATCGGCAATCCAGAACAAGAATAATCACACAAATCCACAGAGAAAATAGTTGAAGAACTGCTGGAAGAAAATTTCTCTAACATCCTGAAAAGTGAAAAGATAAACATTCAAGAAGCTCAACGAACCCCAGGAATGATAGACCCCAAAAGAAAATCATCAAGACATATCATAATCAAGCTCTCCAAAATCAAAGATAAGGAGACACTCCTGAAAGCAGCTAGGGAAAACAGAAGTGTTACATACAAAGGCAAGCAAGTCAGATTAAGCTTGGATCTCTCAGCAGAGACCATGCAAGCAAATGTTGTTAAGTGCCATTGAGTCAGTTCCAACTCATAGGGAACCTGTACAGGGTTTCCAAGGAGTAGCTGGTGGATCTGAAGCACCACCTTGCAGTTCAGATCAACTTTGTGAGCCAGTGCTTATCCTACAGCGTCACACCAGGACTCTGTACTTAATCATATCTACCTGGAATAAGAACAAGAGAATCATCTGGAAAGATTAAGACTTGAATTCTTAGTGTATCCCAGAATGGTCATTTAAAAAATATTAATCATCTATTTGTCTTAGTTAACTAATCTTCTAGGCACTCGTAATTCTTTTTCTGGACTAGGAGTTCAGCAAGTATAATTCCTAGTGTTATTGTTAAGTGTCATCAAGTTGGTTCCAACTCATAGCGACCCTATGTGGGGTTTCTGAGGCTGTCTTTGCAGGAGCAGAAATCTTCATATTTCTCCTGCAGGGCTGTTAGTGTGCTTGAACCACAGACCTTGTGATTTGCAGTCTAGTGTTTATCATACAGAGCCACTGCACTCCCTAATTTTTATTAGAAACAATGATTTAAATGCTACCCATTTATTAAGAACAAATGCTCTGGTAGCATAAATTACAAGCTGGGCTGCTAACCGCAAGGTCAGTAGTTTGAATCTACCAGTTGCTGTTCAGGAGAAAGATGAGGCTTTCTGTTTCCGTAAAGATTTACAGCCTCAGAAATCCTATGCAGGGTCGCTATGTGTTGGAACCAACTCAGTGGCATACCACTACCACCACCACCATTTATGAAGGACAGGCATAATTCAAACTGTTACCTGACCAAGTAACAAAGGCACATAATTTCACTTCAGAACTAGAAGGATCCAAAGCTCCAGTAGTAAAAAAAATTTTCTTCTGTTGCTGAATCTTATTAATCCATTTACAGAACTGTGATAAGCAAATCTTCAGAGGGATCCCATTGTCAACTTGAACCTAAACAGAAAGTTACAAAATCTAAATTCAACAGTCAAATTTCCTAATTCTTAAAGAGGATATGATGACAAAGAGGTTCTACTGGCAAAGAGCTTATCTAATAAGAAGATATTAAAACACCTGGGAGAGAGATAATACATGATTAGCATTTTCTACAGCAAGAAAAATTAGGTTAACAAATCTAAAAATCACCCAGAAATATAATAATGAAACCCATACCAACAGAAATAGATAAATCTGAATCACTTAACTTCCATATGCTACATTTGATAGTCATTTTTATAATACAATTATTTTTCATTCCTAGATTCCAATGGACTTCTAGAAAGCACATTATTTCTCTTAACATTGAAAAATCTAATTGCAAATGGTATAAACCCATTCCTCACTTATCAACATAGTTAGGTTCCAAGGATCAGGTCATTATGCAAAATTTGGTGTTATGCAAAAAATGGAGGATGGCCACATCAGATCACAAAATTACATCATTACATAACTGCCCAAAGACATCATTACACAACCGCCAAATGACATCATTAAATAACTGTCAAATCACATTATTACATAATTGCCAAACCTCGAGAATGATGGCCCAGCCAAGTTGACAACTTAAACCATCAGCATTAGCATCAGAATTAGCATGACTCTCGTCTCATACCTCAGAAGTATGTTAATACACAAAAGAGTCAGAGAGCACATTTTTCATTATTGTAGTCAATGTGAAAAGTTGGATAGTGAGACGTTTGGTAAGTGAGGAATTGGTGTATTGCTTTTCTTTTTTTCCACTTTGAAACGGATTTCCGAATCTTAAATTTTACATGATATCTGCTTGGCTTAGGGTGAGGGAAGAGGGCATACCTGCTTTATGCCTGTCAGTTCCATACAAAATTCAGAAAGAATTGGATGTTCCTGAGGCTGAACATAAACATGGAACTCAGATTCAATCTCTCCAGTGGATGTGTTCAACAATACTGCGGGAAATTCAACTAAATGAAAGAATCAATTGATACTGAAATATAGAATTGCTATATTAATGCTGTCATCATCCCAAATGGAATGCATATTATAATCATTATCTCAAAGCATATTAAAATGAACAATGCAGTGTGATGTAATCAAATTATGCCAAAGAATACATTAAAAAATCCAAGTTCTGATCTGAATATGTCTACTTAAAACTCTTGAATTCCACAATGATATACAAATACCAATTGAACTTGAAATGTACTCCTCTTTTGCACTAGTATTTTTGTTTCAGTATCTATGCAAATGAGGTTTTAGCTCTAATTCTATAATAATTACAGTGAAACCTGTGAGGGTCTAACTCAACGAGCACTGTCTTGTTTTTCCAGGTCTTGTAAGTTTTCTGCCTTTGACAGGGTGCCACTTTTTTTCTTTACTACTTTTCTATCGTTCTTTTTAGTGAAAAGATTTGAACTTTCCTTCTCTGACAGGCTTCTGTTTGACTTTCCAGCTTTCCCAGGCTGATCCATTTACACATTGGTGAGGCCACGTGGTTGTGTGTTGTCAGGTGGGTACTGACTCACAGCGACCCTGTATAGGGTTTCGGAGGCTGTACATTTTTACAGGAGCAAAATGCCTCATCATTCTCCTGTGTAGTGGCTGGCAGATTTGAACTGCTGACCATGCGGTTAGTAGCCCAACTCATAACCCACTATGCCACTAGAGCTCCATTTATCTATTAGGTGTGTTTTTTTTTTTTAAGTTTCATAGTAACTAAGCATTGGACTACTAACTGCACTAACAGCAAAGTTGGCAGTTCAAACCCACCAGCCGCTTTCAGAAACCCTATATGGGTCGCTATCAGTTGGAACCAACTCGACGGCACACAACCACAAACTAATTTATACATTATCTGTTTTCCTATACTAACTGTTGGCTGATTTCTAGTTATAAATATTGAAGTAATTCACATAGTACTAGCTTGGGCCACTGGCCATCCAGACTTACTTATTTCCTGGCTACGGTGGGGCTTCCCATCATTCCAGCACGTCGACTCAAAATCAATGACAATTAAGTAACCAAACAACTGGTCTGCAAAAGATCAAGGCATCCTTAAGCTTCATCAGCATAAAAGGGCAAGGCTACAAAAGGTAATGAAATTAAACACTTTACTTACTGAATTTGCTTCTTCCTAGATTTCCATTTGCTGGTACAAATGACTTTCGCCTAATTAATCCAAGCTGCCTAAAAATGTAAACCCAATATGATCAGTAAATTAATTCACATTCCTTTTAAACAGGCTACCAAACTAATGGTTCTGGGCACATGACAAAACTCTCATTAGTAATATATTGTAATTGAGGGGGAACAGTGAACCAGATTTTAATGGCAAAAAACATGGGTTTGCATCTTTTATCTACCACCCTATCTCCAAATTTAGGCTAATTTTACCTGTTCCCCTTGTTGTTGTTGTTAGGTGTCATCAGGTCAGTACTGACTCATAGCGACTCTATGCATAACAGAATGAAACACTGTCCGGTGCTGCACCAACCTCACAATCGTTGCTACACATTAGCCTATTGCTGCTGCCACTGTGCCAATCCATCTCATTGGGGGTCTTCCTCTTTTTCTGTGACCCTCCACCTTACCAAACATGATATCCTTCTCTAGAGACTGGTCCCTCCTGATAATATGTCTGGAGCATGAGAGATGAAGTCTCAGTATTCTGGATATACTTCTTCTAACACAGATCTGTTTGTTCTTTTGGCAGTCCATAGTACTTTCAATATTCCCTTTCAATACCATAACTTAAATGCATCAATTCTTCTATGGTCTTCCTTATTCACTGTCCTATTTTTGCATGCATATGAGGTTACTGAAAATACCATGGCTTGGGTCAGGCGCACCTTAGTCCTCAAACTGACATCTTTACTCTTCAACACTTTAAAAGTGTTGTGCAGCAGATTTGTCTAATGCAATACGTCATTTGATTTCTTGACTGCTGCTTCCATGAGTGTTGATCTGAGCAAAATGAAGTCTTTGACAATTTCAATTTTTTCTCCATTTTTCTTGATGTTATTTATTTGCCCAGTGGTGAGGATTTTTGTTTTCATTAAATTGAGATGCAACCCATTGTGAAGTATGAGTATTCCAGAATACTTAATTGTGCTCATGAGACACCTGTACATAGAACAAGAGGCAGTTGTTCAAACAGAACAAGAGAACACCAAACGATTTAAAATTTGGAAAGGTGTGTGCCAGGGTTGTATTCTTTCACCATATTTATTCAACATATATGCTGAGCAAATAATCCAAGAAGCTTGATTATATGAAGAAAAACATGGCATCAGGATTCGAGGAACACTCATTAACAACCTGTACCAAGCAGATGATACAACCTTGTTTGCTGAAAGCAAAGATGGCTTAAAATATTGATGAAGATCAAAGACCACAGTCTTTGGTATAGGTTACATCTCAATGTTTCCCTTATTTCACAGTAATATTAACAAACTTAACTGATGCACTGAGACGTTTTTTAAGTTGTTATTTTAAAAGCAAATCAGAACATTGTCCCTTACAGGTGTTTAAAAAATCTCAATGGAGAAACAAAGTGCCCATGAAACCACTGCAAGGTAGTAGTATATAGTATATAGAATCTTTGTGTGGTGCTGTAAGATAGGCACTGGACAACTACAAGGTTGGCAATTCAAACTTACCAGCTGCTCCTCAGAAACCTTACACAGGGTTGCTAAGAGAATCAACTGGAAGGTACTAAACACATACTTAAAGGATTCCCAAAGGCAATCCAAGATAAGGAATCCACAGAAGAGCAAGAGCTTACTGAGATTTTAAGTGGAGGTAAGAAAAGGACTTTGATTACTGCGTAGACAGAAAGTTGCCTCAGACTGTAGTTTGCTGTCAGGTACGATAGGAAGTCCTGGTGTGGCTCTACGGGATAATGCGCTGGATTGCAAGATCAGTTTGAATTGCAAGGTTAGTGGTTCAAGCTCACCAGCTGCTTGCTCCTTGGAAACCCTATATAGGATTGCTATGGGTCAGAAACGACTGGATGGCTCTTAACAACAACCAGAACGGAATGATAATAACTAACATTTATTATTAGTTACTTACTATATTTGAACCGACTTTGTGGTTTAAACCAACTTTGCAGTCGAGCACAAAACAAAACAAAAAAACCCAGCACCACACCACGATTCTTAGCAGACACACAATCTACATGCATGCACCTCAACAGCTGTACAAGGTAGATATTTTTTCTACCTACATTTTAATAGATGATAAAATTGATACTTAGAGAGGTTCAGTAATTTGCACAGATTTGGTGTGTGAACGCAGGATTGTCTACATCTGAACCACATGCTACTCACTAGTACATTACATTGCTTCTAATAATCAAAAACGGAAAAAGCATGCCCAGATCAGGAAAAAGTCCACATTGCTTCATATTATGACTTAAGCGGACCACTAGGAAGTAAACAGACTGGTGGGTGCAGTGGCGCTTCCCGGTGGCTAAAATGGGGCAGGGACTGGTTCAAGACAACACAGGTCTCCCCGGGCTCTCTGTACTCGGGGAGTACAGTCCTGACCACAGGAGCGTCAGAGACACGGAGACAGCAGGAAATGGAAGCTGCCGCCAAGAATACTCACTCCCCGGCCCCGCGTGAGCCCCTGCCGCGAGCAACCTCACGTACCGTGCCAGTTTTTTGGTTGCCATTCCCCACGTCCTTTACTCTTCCACGTCAACTGCCGGAAGTCGCAAGACTCCCACTTCCGACTACTTCAAATTCCCCGCGGCAGTGGTTCCGCCAGTGAAAAGCTGGGGAGGCTGCTGAGGCTGCGTCCTCCACCCTCCGCCCAGCTTTGAACAGACGTTTCCGGTGCTCGGGAGTGCGGGGCGTGGTTTTGGGCGGGGAAACCACTTGGTAACGCCCCTTGTCTTTTTTCTTGGTCAACATTGGAGTGGTTGGCGACCCGTTTAGAATCTCTCAGAAAAGAACGTTAAAACCGTTTGGCTTCCTCTGGTGTCGTTATCTCGTCAGCGAAACGACAGGGGTCGTCAGTACCCTCGCTTTTCAGGGCTGGCTGGGAGCGCTCTGTGAACTGGGAAGTGAGGAACGAATCTGAGGGAGACTGTAGAATCCCCGACCAATAGTGACCCCCTCAGAAGACGGCCTGGGCCGGAGGATCTGGGTGCCGGGACTTCCTCACCCCATAGCTGGTCATTCGCCGCAGCTTCATGGAGTCAAAGAGGGAAAGGCCCGAGAGGCACCCTAAGAAGGGCAGGAAGAGAAAGCGAGCTCCCAACAGGCTGGTCGGGGCCGCGGAGGCGATGAGGGCCGGTTGGGATCTGGAGGAGAGGCAGCCTGACACCAAGGTGAGCACCTGGGAGCCACGTGGCGGCTCTAGACGGTTTGGGATCCCAGTCAGGCAACCCCAGCTCATCCCCAAATATTTATTGAGGTCTTCTGAGTGCCAGGAATGGTTGTAGGTTCTGAGGATTGGATGTTTAATGCCAAAAATATATATACACAAAAATCTCTGCCCTGTAATCCAATGGGAGAATTAAGGCTGATGGTCAAACTCCGATTTGTGTCATTCGCTCCTTCAGTTCTGCAGATTTTTCTTGTCCGTGTGCCACCTAATAAGATTTAGAATCGAATGGAGAGCATCAGAAAAGGAACAAAAAAGACGTAAGAGGGGACTTCAGCAACTTCCAGGAAAACTGACAATATCTTTATTCCATTTTCCACGAACTTTTTGGAAACCCCCCGGTATCGTATGCCCGCGTGGAGCTGTAGGATAAGCACGGGACTGCGAACCATAAGGTTACAGTTCGAACCCACCAGCCACTTAGTGGGAGAAAGATGAAGTCACCAGCTGCTACTTGGAAACACTATACAAGATCAACAGACTTGACAGCACTTAACAGAATAGTTGTTGTGAAGTTATATATATAAACCCTATATAACGACCCTGTATAAGGAGCTCTGGTAGCGTAGTGGTTACGAATCGGGCTGTGAACCTTAAGGTCAGCAGTTCGAAACTACCAGCTGCTCCGCAGGAGAAAGATGAGGCTTTCTACTCCCGTAAAGATTTACACCCTCGGAAACCCTGTACAGGGTCGCTATGGGTCGAAACCGACTCGATGGCACTTAACAACAACAACAACATAACGACCCTGTATAGGGTTTCTGAGGAGCAGCTGGTGAGCTTGAACTGCCGACCTTGCAGTTTAACGACTCTGCAGTCTGGCGCATTAACCCACAGCGACGCCCCAGGACTCCAGCCCCATTCAAGTTTCTCCAGTAGTTCCTTTTTAGCAGTAGGATCTAATCTATAATCTTGTGTCACATTTAGTTTTCAGGTCTCTTTCAGTCTTTCCTTAGCATCCATGAACTTCACTCGATTTATCTTTTTGTTTTTTAAGTTTTTATTGTGAATTGAGTGACTGTTTTTACATGGGAGAACATCGGCCCCACACTCGTTCTACTGTATTTCATTTCATTGCAATGATTACAATCCCCGCCAAGCATCCTCATTCAACAGCATTTGCCTCCTACCCTCGTTCTTTTTTTGTTGTTGTTTTGATGTATCCCGAAGCACTCAGGAATATACAATCATTCAAACAACCAAAGATATACCCTGTAAGCTTGCCGCCCCCCCCACCTCCCCGGCCGCAACACAGAGCCCCTCTCACTCCCTGAGTCCAGAGTCCCCAGCCACTCCATCTCTCCACATCATCATCTCTGCCTCCATCTCTGGCGTCACTGTTTCTCTGGATAGGGTTCCGCACTCAGCTCTTTTCCCTTGATGGTCTCAGGGTCCTCCGCTCCTGGACTGCAAAGTCAACCACTTCAATCAATCAACCTTTTGGTTGTTTGATGATGCACAGAGGGGATTGTAACCATGGCAATGACACAATATAGGATAGGATGAATGTAAAACTAATTTTCTCCCATGTAAACTATCACATAATTCACAATAAAACATTTTTTAAAAAGTTAACTGGACTTCTGTAGAATGTCTCTCAAGTTGAATTTGTCTGTTTCCTCACTAGATTCAATTATATGACATCTTTGGCAGGAATATCACAGAAGTGATACTCTTTTCTCTTTCATTTTATTAGCTTTATTAAAACCATCATTGGGGATGATAACCTTTGATTTCTTGATTAAGATAGTGTCAGCTGAGCTTCTCTAAAGTTACCCTTTCCCTTGGTAATGAGTATTTTGGGAGGGGGGTGCTGCCTCATTAAACATTCGGTTCTTTTTATTAATTGATAAGTACTCATAGATTTCTATTTTATTAGGTCGGCGGTTCAAGTTCACCAGCTGCTCCTAGGAAACCCTATACAGGGTTGCTATGGGTCGGAACCGACTCGACAGCACTTAACAACAACAAAAGCCATTATTGTTTTCATTTTTATGCTTAAACTATCCCAGATTTGGTTATTAAGCTGGCTTCTGTGTCCTTTTGACATAACTTCCATTATTCTTTAGGTATTACTTAAACAACCAAAGGGCTCATTCTGCAAGTCTGCCTCCTGGCCGCCAGCACACAGTCTTTCTCTTTCCATGAGTCTAGAGTCCTCAGCTGCTCCCTCTCTTTGTCCTCATCTCTACCTCCATCTCTAGTATCACTACCTCTCTGGATAGGGTCCCACAGTCCGCTCAGTGGCAGATACTTTAATAGTCAGATATATGTGCAAAACTCTTCAGGAGACTCTTCGTTGCTCCAGCATATAGTCTTAAATCCAATGACCCGATGCTTTGGCTTCTGCTTCTTTGTACTCTTGTATGTCCACTCCTCTGTAATGTATGTTCTTAACTCCTGCCAAACCCAACTATGTGTTTGGACCTGATGTTCCCTCCAACATGCCTACTTCATTGTGTTCAAGGCTTAGCCCCACTATTTTCATGTCAGGGAAGCCACTCCCAAAACTCTAACCCCCAATAAACTCTAGCCTCATTGCTCTCATAACCTTTGTAATATCTTGTTGTTTTAGACCTTCATTTTCAATCAATTAGAGCCTTCCTTACTTTTGGATGTATGTTAAAATAATGAGAAATGGAGTAATTTAATAACTTGCTTTGCTTTGTTTCTGTTCGTAATAATCATGGTTTGCTATTCTCTGATTTATTTTTGCAGAAAGCTCGGTTATCTACCATTTTATATGCTGAAAACTATGAAGTAACCCACAGCCAGCTATGTGAATTGCTGAAGTATGCAGTTCTGGGCAACTCCGCTGTTTCTAAACCCAGGTATGTATGAAATGAACTTAAATGACAGTATACACCAAAAGTTTCAAACTGATATACAGAGATCATATTTGTTTATTGACATTGTTTGCCATGCAGCATTTCCCAACAAAAAATATTTATAATCGTTGCCAATAACTAAAGTTGGGAATGCCTGTGTAAAAATCTAGATTTTTGGCTTCTTTGAAATAAGACAGAGAGTCTGGCAATTGTCTCTGTATTCCTGCATTACAACCACTTGTCAAAACTTAGTAGTGGCCTCCTCCTTTAGATGGACCATGTACTTGCCGCGGCCCACCTGGCCTGCTGCCCTTCATTACAGTGCTTTTCTGCAAAGGCATTTTGGCTTGTAACGCCCCCAGGGAGGACCTAATTGAAATAATAGGATTATACATTAAGACTCCCATTCAATCTTTTTTCTCTCTTTTACAAATAAAAGGCGAAAAGAACATTTTATGATTGTTATATTGCTAGAACCATTATTAAAAGTCTTAAGAAATTTGTTTTTTTAAAAATATGTACCAATAGAGAAAATTTCCAATGCACACATCTGTGTGGATGAGGTTATTATGAATGTCTAAATAAAAGGTTATTATTTAGACAACTCAGAAGCCTTCCTTGGCACAATGTTGTTTGTTGTTAAGTGCCATCAAGTCAGTTGAGACTCATAGCGATGCTGTACAGGGTAGCATAGTCCATTATGAGTCGGGTTGCTAACCCAGAGGTCAGTAGTTCAAATCTTCCAGCTGCTCCTCGTTAGAAAGATAAGGCTTTCTGCTCCTATAAAGACTTACGACTTTGGAAACCCTATATGGGGTCACTAGGAGTTGAAACCAACTCAGTGGCACACAACCACCACCACATAGGGTTTCCAAGGAGCACCAGCTGAGTTCGAACTGTCCACCTTGTGGTTAGCAATCCAGTGCTTATCCTACAGCACCACATCACTATTCCTTATATTGCCATTGATCTGGTAGTTTATCAAAAACTATATTTCTTAAAGCCAGCTATGTGATAACCCAGTTTCAGAAGAACTGGTTAGGATCTTGGAGATGTGTCTTTCTAAAGTGAGTTTTGTTCTCATTTTAAACAAGCCTAAATAGGATAATGAAAGTATTGCTTTTCACATGGTATTTACTTGATTTGAATACAAGTCATGTTAAGTTCAAGAGCTCTTTGAGCTCTGTGCATTCGTAGCAGTCAGGCAGTGATGGTAAGCTCCGTGAGCTGCTTGCTCACTTGGTGTTTCATACTCCTCTTCTGCATTTATGTACCTGACTTGGAAATCTCACTCTTAGTTGTGTTGGTTTGATTTTCCAACAGCTGGTGCCAGCTCTATCACCAAAAACACTTGAACAACGTGGTGGTTTTTGTTCTACAGGGAATGAGTCAGCTGCACTTTTACAGATTCTATTTGGAATTTGGAGTTCTTCGAAGGGCATTCAGACATGTAAGTCAAGAACGCTTTGTGTTAGAGTGAAGTCCTCCCTTCCTGACAGTGGGGCACATGTCGCAGACTGTGTGCTTCTTGGTAACCTGGCTGAGTAAGCTGTAGGTATTGTAGAAAGCAGAAAGGACGAAGGTACAGAGATTTCACAGTGAATAATTAGCTTTGTCTCTGATGTACTTTGGTAGTCTGGGCAAAACATTTATTGTCAGATTGTAATCTGGAATTCTCAGGTTGATATTGCCTCGTTTTATTTTGCAAAACTTAAATCTGTATTTCTCTTCTTCTCTTGAAAAATCACAAGACTGGGTACTCTTAAAACAGGATCTGGATAAACTTTTTGAGCATTTTGAGCATAATTTCTGAGCATTTCCTGTATGCTTGGCACTCTGTGAATCACAAGGTACCCTGGTGGCACAGTGGTTAAGAAGAGCTCAGCTGTTAACTAAAAGGTTGGTGGTTTGAACCCACCAGCCGCTCCATGGAAGAAAGATGTAGCAGTCTGCCTTAGAAACCACGTGGGGTAGTTCTACTCTGCCCTGTAGGGTTGTTAGGAGTTGAATCAACTCTACGGTAGTGGGTTTGGTTTGTTGTTTGTATATGAATCACTGTATGCATCATTTTAAATTCTCAGTAGTTTTACAAGTGAAAGATACTTTTTCATTCCCATTTTGCAAATATAGGAGCTGAGTAACTTGCACAACTACAGTTAGTAAGTGGTAGAACTGGAATTTAATATGGAATTTCTCTCAACTCTGTAAGGGACTTAATCTGTCTTGAATTGCACATTTCTATGATGCTTATCTTTTTACAGTGAGTAATCAGAGAAGCAGAGAACATTTCTGGAGATTGCATAAGTGTGACCTTTCCAAGATAATGAAGCAGTTCTCACTTTACAGAACAAACAATTCAGGTCCAAATCTTTTACAGAGCTGACTGGGCTGACAATAAAGTTCTAACCTTTTACTCTAACCTTGACTGCTCTCAAGAATTTTTGTAAAAAATAAAAAATCTGTTTCAGAAATTCCGCTTGCCTCCTCCATCATCCAATTTTCTAGCTGATATCACTGGACTGCCAAAGAAACAAACAAATGAGGCTCTTCCCAGGACGATAGAAGGTATGGTTATGCCTGGTTGGTGATTTGCTCATTACAAAAGATATTATGGTTCTGCTTGTAAGGAGGTTTATCAGCCAAGGTTTATTGTTCTAAGCAATACAAAGTTCTAACTAACTTAAGCAGAAAGAATTTTTTTTTTTTTTAAGGACAAAATGGGCCGGTACCCAGGGAGGTTAGACAGCAGGAGCCAAGCCAAGGTGTTATGCCTGTCTTAGTGATCTGCTGCCCCTATAACACATACTACTTCTGGATAGCTTTACCTTTATTCTCTCCCACTTTAGGAAGCTAGAAGTCCAAATTCAGGGTACCAGTTCTAGGGAAAGGCTTCCTCCCTGTGTCAGCTCTGTGGGAAGGCCCTTGTCTCCTTTCAACATCTGTGGGCCTGGGATTCCTTGAAGATCTCTATGTGACTTGGCACCTGTCTCTCCCTGAGTCTTGGAGCTTTGCAGCACAGGGTCCTCAGGTCCTAAGGACATGCTGTGGTCTGGGCTCTTCATTCTTGGTGGTAGTGAGGTTCCTCTCATCTCTGCTCACTTGTTTAATCCTTTCATGTCTCCAAAGGGATTGACTCAAGATACCACCTAATGATGTAGATTGTTTCCGGTCTCATTAACATCCTAGAGGGGAGAGCTAATATCAAAAGAACCATTATATTAAATCACAAAATAATTACAGAATCACGAGAGGGAGGACCCAGTCAAGGTGATCCACATTTGGGGGAGCACAACTGAGTCTGTAGCATTCTATCCTTTGTCCCCCCTCCCACCCAAATTCATGTCCTTGCCACTTGTAAAACTCTTTCCTTTATAGCATCGTAAAGTTTTCCAAGTTCAAATTCCAACCTAGGTCAAAATTCCTCTTCATTTGTGAATCTAGATTATAAGTTATCTGCTTCAAAACAAGATGGCGCAATAGGCAAAAGATAGTTATTTCCATTACAAATGGGAGAAATTGAAGAGAAAGAAGGGATAAGGAGCAAGTTCAAAAACAAAGCAGAAAAATTCACATTGACTATCAAGCCTTGAAAATAGTCCTTTGTTTTCTGAGACCATCTAAGCAATGGCCCTGCCCTCCAGACTAGATGTTGGACACGTTATCTGGACTCTGGGTGGAGAACCCTCAGCCCTGGGTTTCTAGGCTCATGGGGTTGGCAATTCTGCTTCCTTAGCTTTGTGTGACCCCATTCTCTTGAGTCTAGCAGGCCCCGTTCTTCTGTCCCTTGGGTATGACAGCCATGCTCCTTCAGCTTTGGTCAGTGGATCTGGCCCCATACCTCTGACACTCATGAATGGCAGCCCCACCCTCTGGACTGAGTTGGTGAAGTTGAGAAATCATCTCTTGTGTTAGTGCCATTTTTCTCTAAGACACCATTCTTGAATTTCAGAATTGCTTCATCTGCTTGTTGGCCCATACCCCATCTGCATGGCTCATTCCCTTTGCTCCTTCCTACAAACTGTCCCCTGATCAGGCTCTATAAAATAAAGGACAGTCACTTTTTCCTGCCACAGCACTCTGTCTTCCTTCCTCTCCTTACTTTAGTTTTCCTTATAGACCTTACTCCCACCTGGTGTGTTGTTGTTGTAATGTGCTGTACAGTTGGTTCCTACTCATAGTGACCCTGTACAGAGTTTCCGAGGCTGTAAATCTTTATGGGAGCAGAAAGCCTCATCTTTCTCCCACAGAACAGCTGGTAGTTTCGAACTGCTGACCCTGAGGTTGGCAGCCCGATTCATAACTACTACGTGACCAGAGCTCCCAATTGTTTCCACGCTTGAGCTCATTGATGCTGCCACTTACGTGCTACCTGATGTGTTATATACTTATTATCCGTCTTCCCAACTAGGATTTAAGGTCCCTGGGAACATTTGTCAGTTTTGTCACTGGATAATCTCCAGTGGCTAAAACAATGCCTGGCATATTATAAGCACTCAACAAAAAGCAATTTTTTGCTGACTGAATTGAATTATTCTGTTACCATGCTTTATCAGTTTTTCTTATATTTCTTTCAAAATTCCCTTTGCCTACATCTTTATGTTTTCCTACATCCTTACCACTATCTGAATAATTTTTTGCCAGGATCACTACAAAGCCTCCTCTGATTTCTCTACTTTTCACATATCTTTGAGGTTGCTCTTTCCGACAATACTATCATTTCCTTCTCGTGAGCTTTCAGTTAATCTCCCTTTGTTGTTGTTGTTAGGGGCCATCAAGTCAGTACCGACTCATAGCGACCCTATGTACAACAGAACGAAACACTGCCCGGTCCTGGGCCAACTTCACAATTGTTGCCACGCTTGAGCTCATTGATGCTGCCACTTATGTGTTGTAAAATGGACCAGTGTCCAAACCCTTGAGCCTGGCATATGCAGGGGTTTGTTCTTCTCTGTCAGTCTTGTTTACTATACTGCTTTCCTACACAAACCTTTTTTCCATCCTCACTAGTCTGCTTCATTTCCATACCAAGTCTGTTTTGTACATTTTGTAAAGGAATGCCGTCTTTTCTACTTAGGATACTTTGGCTCTTTTGGGTACAAGAACCAACTACTCGTTTGAGCTGCCTTAAGCAAGAGGGGATTATTTTGAAGGATGCATGTGAACCAGAAAACAGTCAGGAACCTAAGGGCCTCGAGGGAAGTGTTGCTCTCCATCCTCTCATGGCATTTTTTCTGGTTTCCCTTTCTAACTGGTCGAGTCTCTTGTTTTCTAGTTTAAATTTTTAATCAGTTTTGCCCCTTTTAAGCATATCTTGACAAGACATAGCAAGTCACTGGTCAGTCTATAGATGGGTCCCTCTTGACCCAGGGTCCCACCAATATTTAACAGGTTTGTGCTACATAAGAAGGTGGCTATAGAGGTGGAAGAGATTTAGCTAGAATGGGTTATCGGGAGTGGTGGTGGTTATGTGCTATGGAGTCGGTTCTGACTCACAGTAACCCCATGTAGGGTTTCTGAGGCTGTAAATCTTTACAGAACAGCTGGTAGTTTTGAACTGCTGACCTTGAGATTAGCAGCCCAACTCGTAACCACTATACTACCAGAGCTCTTTATTGGGGGTGACAAGCACTGTAATGAGCAGGTCTAACACACCAACTATCTGGTTTATATCTGTTCTTCAAGACTCAGTTAATAATTGTTTTTCTTTTGAAACATCTCGGACTACACCAGCCAAAAGTGTAGTCTTTCTACTTTACCTTTTATAGCCTTTCTTGTTATAACCCATTTGAGACTTATTCTCTCTGTGTGTTCTTATAACTGTATTAGATTTGCAGGCTCCTTAAAAGTGGTGGTGGGGTCTTGTACATCTTTGGATTTGTGCCATGCTTTGCCTGTACAGCATTAAGAGACATATGTCCTCTGAGGTGTTTTAAACACATATTCTAACATATACTCTAATTGTTCTTCTTTTTGGAGGGTCTTCACTTTCTGCCAGTATAAAAGCCAACATCAACCTGCAGAATGACCCCATCATTCAGAAGTTTGGCTTTAAGAGAGTGGGTTTGGTTAGATGCCTTCTGACAAAGGAGGAAATGAAAACATTTCACTTTCCATTACAAGGTTGGTTTAGATGTAATCTGATCTTAGTAACAATGTAAGGATATTGAACAGTTTATTTAAAAATATGACAGAGATTCAAAAAGTTTGTGGAAAAATGGAATGAGTAGATGATGGAGACTTCCAGTTTTGGAGTCGGAACAAGTGGAGTCAGGTAGGATGAGCTCCGTGGGGAAGGTGCCAAAAATCCAGAGAAGGTACTTTTATGGAGCTGCTCCAGAGCTCTGGATCTAGTATAAGGTACAGGGCGTCAGTTTCCTGCACCCTCGGGTGGAAAAATCACTGTATAAAAGAAAATACTGCAATTCTGGAATCAATTAGGGCTTGGGACTCTGCCTGTGAAGCACTCCCGCCCAGGCTGCATTCAGTGGGCAGTACCACAGCCAGACTGACACAGTGAAACCCGTGCAGTGACATTTGAAAAAAGAGGAGTGGGGAATTCTGCACATTTTTTCTCCTCTTCCCTGTTGTGCCCTCTCTGCCCAGCCCAGCCACCTTCAGGTGGGTGGGTGCGCACCCCAAAAAGGGTCCAGCATTGAGCCCACAGTTTTCCCATGGCATAGAGAGGAGGATCCTCATTGGTCTCATGGACTGACCCTTTGGCAGCAGCTTATGACGTCTGACTCTGGGACCAATCCCTAAAGTTGACCTGGGTGGGACCCATTACTCCTGCCACTGGTCAGACAGCTATTGTTTTATTTTTGTTTTGGAGTGGTGGTTTTTGTGTCTGCTTTTATATCACTTCTGTTCTTGGTTTTTGTGGTCACACTTTTTTCCCGGGGATGGGAGCATTTTCTCCCCACGTTACACAAGAAGACACAGCAATCGTGGCCATATAGCCAAGCTACAGTCATACCCCATAATATCTCACCATTTGGACAGGAGCCAATACCAGTTGCTAGACATTACATGCGAAAAGGGAAGCCTTTCTCCAGATCATATCTACCAAGAGATACTCAGCAAGTTTACCAGCACAGCAACATACATCCATTTAAGCATTAAAAATCCACCTAACTACTGAAAATGTCCAGGAAAACACAACAAAAGATCTCAAAACATGTCCAAAAACAGAAAAGAGTAACTGAGACAAATAAGCTGGAGGCAGACACAGTATTTCCAATAGAAGAAGAGCAGGTTTTGGATCTGCCTGAGAAGGAATTCAGAAGAATGCTATGGAAACAAATTCAAATGCTCCAAAAAGGGGTGGAGGAAAATAAGGAAGAAGTCAGGAAAGTGCTACAGGATATCAAACAAGATAGATACACCACTGGAAACAATTCAAAACCTGCAAAAAGAGGTTCAGATAATTAATAATAAAATATCAGAAAAGGACAATACACTGAAAGGGGAAAGGAGCATAATTGAAAAGATGGAAGCCAGAACCAGCGAGCTGGAAGACAAATCTCTCAATACTGCTAAGATAGAAGAGCAAGCAGAAAAAAGGATAAAAAAAAATCTGAAGAGAGCCTAAGATTCATGCTGGATAACATGAAGAGGAATAACTTAAGAATTATTGGCATCAGGAAGAATCACAGAAGTCCACAAAAGAGATAGTTGAGGAACAACTGGAAGAAAATTTCCCTAACAACTTGAAGGATGAGAAGATAACATTCAAGAAGCTGAATGAACTCCAGGAAGGATAGACCCCAAAAGAAAATCACCAAGGCATATCATAATCAAGCTCTCTAAAATCAAAGACAAGGAGAGAATTCTAAAAGCAGCCAGGGAAAAGAGAAGTGTTACCCACAAAGGCAAGCAAATCAGATTAAGCTCTGACTTTTCAACAGAAACCATGCAGGCAAGAAGGCAATGGGGAGACATATACAAAACCCTAAAAGAAAAAAACTGCCAACCAAGAATCACCTGTCCAGCAAAACTGTCAATAAAATACTATAATGCAATCAAAACATTCCAGGATAAACAGAAGCTAAGAAATTTTGTCAAAACCAATCAAGCACTTCAAAACATCCTAAAGGGAGTTATTTGGGATGAAAACCAGCAAGAACAGACAACAACCAGAAATTGACAGACGTGGCAACACCACCTGAAATTCAGTCAACAGATAGTAGAGTTCAGAACAGAACAAAATTACAGCAATGAATTCAGAGGACCTGTGAGGCCAAACAAAAATCAAAATATTAACAATGTCAAAGAAGGGAAAAATATAGGAACAGAGATCCAGGTGGTGAGGAGGCTGAGTAGATGGCCGGATAAAATGTTGTTGTTGTGAAGTACCGTCGAGTCGGTTCCGACCCATAGCGACCCTGTATAGGGTTTCTGAGGAGCATCTGGTAAGCTTGAACTGACGACCTTGCAGTTCAAACGGTTTTGCAGTCTGGCGCATTAACCCATAGCATCACACCAGGATTCCATATAGACTTTCTTAAATGCAGGGAAAACTTAACAGACTATAGGATAACCTGAAAGAAAATTAATACTTCACAACTTACCATGAAAATGAATATCCAAGCAGAACATTAAAACTAAGAAGAAACTGACAAGAAATAGCATAAAAAACATGAATGTAGCACAAGAAGGCATTCAGAACAAAGAAACAAACAGCACCACAAAAAATTAGTATAATGACAGCAGTTAATCCATACCAATCAATAATTATACTGAATGTCAATAGATTAAATGCACCAGTGAAGAGACAGAGAGTGGCAGAATGGACAAGAAAACAAGACCCTTCAATATGTTGCTTGCAAGAGACACACCTTACACACAAAGACAAAAACAGACTAAAAGTTAAAGGATGGAAAAAAATATACCAAGCTAACTGCAATAATAAACAAGCAGGAGTGGCAATACTAATCTCTGATAAAGTGAACTTTAAGACAAAAACCAGCATAAGAGATAAAGAAGGACACAATCAAACGGTCTGTTGAGCAAGATGACATAACCGTAATAAATATCTATGCTCCCAATGAAACAGCATCAAGATATATGAAGCAAACCCTACTAGAATTGAAAAAAGAAATAGATGAATCTACAATTATAGTGGGAGATTTTAATACGCCACTTTCGAAAAGGGATAGAACAACCAGAAACAAACTCGACAAAACCACAGAGGAACTAAACAGCACAATCAACCAACTTGACCTCATAGATGTGTCCCAAGCATTCAACCCAACAACAGCACAATATACATTCTTTTCCTGTGCATATGGAACATTCTCCAGAATTGACCATGTGTTAGGTCACAAAGCAAGCCTTCATAAATTTAAAAACATCAAAATACTACAAAGCATCTTTTCAGACCACAATGCTCTAAAACTAGAAATCAACAATAAGAAGACCAAGGAAATAAAGTCAAATACATGGAAACTGAATAACACCCTGTTGAAAAGCCACTAGGTAGTAGAAGAAATAAAACTTGAATTCACAAAGTTCCTAGAAACAAATGAGAACGAAACACAACATACCAAAATCTTTGTGACACGGAGAAAGTGGTACTGAGAGGACAATTCATTGCAATAAATGAGCACATCCAAAATGAAGAAAAAAACAAAATGAACACATTGATAAAACATCCGCATCTTCAGCAATTAGAAACAGATCAAGAGAGGGAACCTAAAGTCACCAAAAGAAAAGAAATAATAAAGATCAGAACAGAAATAAATGAGATGGAAAACAGAAAAACTATACAAAGAATCAACAGGACAAGAAGCTGGTTTTTTGAAAGGATTAATAAAATTGACAAACCACTGGCAACCCTAACAAAAGAAAAGAGGGAGAAGACACAAATAATATGCATTAGAAACCACAGGGGCGATGTCACAACAGAACCAAAGGAAATCAATAGAATAACAACAGAATACTATGAAGAGTTGGACTCCAACAAATTTGAAAACTTAGAAGAGATAGATACATTTTTAGAAAAACAAGACCTACCTAAACTTACAGAGTGAAGTAGAAAACCTGAGCAGACCTATAACAAAAGATGAAATTGATCAGGTCATAAAAAAAAAAAAACTCCCAACCAAAAGAAGTCCAGGCCAAGCTGGCTTCACTGGTGAGTTCTACCAAACAATTCAGGGAAGAGCTGTCACCAATTCTACTCAAATTATTCCAGAATATAGAGCTGTCACCAATTCTACTCAAATTATTCCAGTCGCTCCGTGGGAGAAAGATGAAGCTTTCTGCTCCTGCAAAGATTTACAGCCTTGGAAACCCTGTGCCACGGCTCTGTGTTGGAATCAACTCTGGCACACAACCACCCCACCACCATTAATCATTTGTGTATCTTTGGAGAAATGTTTGTTCAGAACCTTTGCCCATTTTTAAGTTGGGTCATTTGTCTTTATTATTGAGTTGGAAGGGTTCTTTATATTTTCTGGGGACATAAATTTCCTTGTAGCCTAGGACTTTGTTTAACTGAAAGAGTCAATGTACTTAAAGTGCTTAAACCTGATTCTTAGTATATAAATGTAAAAAAAAAAAAAAAAGTTGTTTTTTAAATGATTATTGCCACTACTATCTTGGTGTGGCACTGGAGGATAAGCACTGACTCACAAGGTCGGTTTGAATCACAAAATCGGCAGTTCAAACCCACCAGCTGCTCCTTAGAAACCCTATACAGGGTTATTGTGAGTCGGAACCAACTCAACAGCACTTAGCAATGACAGCATTATTGATAAGGTGAGCAATAAATGAGTGTCTCCCAGATTTGCAGATACCTCTCTTTTCTGGGTTAGCCTACATTTTGATTTTTCAAATTGCAATTAAGTTTCAGGATACCTGGAAATAGAAACTGGTGAAAGGTTTTCATTCTCCATTTTGTTTCCCTTCAAACAAGATGTCGACATTATCTTTCCTTGCTTCTTCTCTGTCACATACTTTTGAGTCTCTGAGTTGAAAATGCCTGAATATTAATTTAGAGGGGTTACCCTAAGCCTATAATTGAATCTGTTAGTGAATTTTCAGGTTGTAATTCCAGAAAAGGGAGGCACATCTTCATGTGGGGTAGAGGTGGGGGACACTGAAAGTTACTTAAGCCACCTGCCTACATCCTTTTAGAAGTAGGTGAAATCTCATTCCTACACTCTCTTGCTTTGTTTAAGAAGGAAAGATGTCACATGCTGTCATTTGCATGCTTGGTTTCCTCCCTTAGTATCTACATGGAAACTAGTGACTTTGGATTTAGCCACAAATGTAGTTAAAAATGCAGGAAGAATTGTTACTTGGTAAATGCAAGGGAATTCATGTTCAGGATCACCTGCAGTATATTCTCAGAGTCTAAAAATGAGTAGCTGGAGAAAACCTTGGCAGATACTGATTTAATCTTGAAATTTTAATCTATGTCAAACATTGAGAAGGTACCCAGCAAGCGTGATATTTCAGGTATGTCTGGATGAATCCAAGAACAATGTTTTCCATCTCTAGTTCTAAACGCAAATCTTTTACTCATTTTTCTCCTAGGGTTTTCTGGCTACGAAAGCTTTGTCCCTACTAAATGTAGTGGTACTGTAACGGACAACAGCCCTCTCTTTGGACTGGATTGTGAAATGGTAAGTACCACTTTTGAACTTTGAGTTTTCACCTGGAGTGATGCAAACTAGTTAGAAGATGACTTGCTTGAGTCAGATGGAAGATGATAATTCTTGAATCTAATGAGCCAGCGGTACCCGTGCATTCAATTCCAATATTCAGTTTAAATTACTGAAAGGATGCCTTTTTTTTCACATTTTAGAAAACCTGGATATTTGTTCCATGATGAAGAATCAACATTACTCAAGTTTTCTAACTAATTGCTATGTTTAATCAAGTCTTTGCACTTTAACTAGGACTTTGTTCCTCTTTCTCCTGGACAGATGTTTTGTTATTGTTGGTGTTGTTGCCTTAGAAATTTTGCCTGAGTTTCTATTGGTTTGGCTTTGTTTTCACACCGTGAAGATAAGCAGTAGGGTTTGTCTGCTTGTACTTCTCTTGCATTTTACTAATTCTAGTATGTTTCTTTTAAAAACCAGTGCATCCTCTCTTAACCCAGTACTCTGACCTCAGTTCAGGAAAGTGGTGGCTCATAGCTCAGAGTTTCTGAAGTCTGACATATTAGGGGTTGTAGCCTGGCCTTTAGAATCCTGGTGTGGTGCTGCAGGATAATGCACTGGACTGCAAGCTTGGTTAGAACCACAAGGTCAGAGGTTCAAACTCACCAGCTCCTCCTCAGAAACCCTATACAGGGTCGCTATGAGTCGGAACTGACTCGATGGCATTTAACAGCAACAATCCTGACTTTAAGGAGCCCAGGTGACCCATGGTTAAGCAGTCAGCTGCTAACTGAAAATTTGGTAGTTGGAATTTACCAACTGCTTTTGAGGGGAGAAAGATGTGGCAGTTTGTTTCTGTAACGATGACAGGCTTGGAACCCTTATGAGGCAGTTGTGCTCTGTCTTGACAGAATTGACCCAATGGCTATGGTTTTAGCCAAGTTTCACCTGCTAGTGGCTGTGCAGCCTTGTACAGATTGCCTAACATCTCTGAGCCTCAGCTTCCCTCCTTGGGAATTAGGCATAATGAGCGAGGCTATTCATTGAGCCATGCTGAAGTGTCATATATAAAGTGTTTACTACAAAGCTGTTGTTTTGAAGGGCCATTGAGTCAGTTTCCATTCACAGCAGCCCTGTATAGGGTTTATGAAGAGTGACTAGTAGGTTTGAACTGTCAACCTTTTAGTTAATAGTCCAGTGACAATACTGTGTTGCTGTTATAATCAAGTGCCATCGAGTCAGTTCCAACCCATAGCGAACCTGTTTAGGGTTTCCAAGGAGCAGCTGGTGAGCTTGAACTGCCAACCTGCGGTTCAGACTGACTTTGCAGTCCAGCGCATTTGCCCACAGCGCCACACCAGGTCAGTACTATACTAGGTGATAGTATGAGGGGGCTTGAAAATGTGTATGGAAAAATGGAATGAAAAGATCATGGAATTTTTCCACGAACTTTTTGAAGCCCCTTGTAGCATATGCTGCAGTAATTGTTATCTATTAGGTGTGACACTGTAGGATCAGCACTGGACTTCAAATCACAAGGTCAGCAGTTCACACCCACCAGCTGCTCCTTGGAAACCCTATACAAGGTTGCTGTGAGTCAGAACTGTCTTTTTTTTTTTTTTGAAATTTAAACATAAGGTTTATTCTAAGCTTTTGTTCTACATGCATATAAGGATATCATTTTTTTTTTTAATTTAAGGTTTTTATTGTGGATTGAAAGTTTACAGGGCACATCATCAGTTTCACATTCAACAATTCATATAATTTGTTTCATTACATTGATTATAATCCTCTCCATATACCATCAGTTAAAAGTATTTCTCTATCCACTTTAGCTTTTTTTAA